GCCAGTTTAAGGATACAGAACACTGGCAACATGTCCATCAAAACAATATTTCCCAAACCCAACCCACTAGGATTGCTGCTACAACCTATTATTCCTGCAATTCTTACTATTCTCCTTGGGGGGGGGGGGGGGGGAGTGAGCGGGGTCTCCTTGGAGCTGAGCCGGCTCCAAGGTGACATGCTTGGCACCCAACGATCAGAATAGAGCCAGTCCCCTGTGGAGGTCTTGGTTCCAGAGCCAGGTGGGTCCACAGTATTCCAGGGCACTGCTGATGACAGCACAGCCGGCCTGGCTCATCGGCAGGACTTGGAAGGACAGTGGGGGCAGGGAGTGACCCACTCAGTTCTTGTTAACCCTGCAAGCCCAAGCCCTAATGGTAGGGTGGTCCAAGCTGGACAAGCAACGGGAAAGCTTGCCAGACAGCGATATCAATGGCAAGCTATGCAGTTTTAGCTGGTTAGACTCCAGCGGTTACCCCAACGCACACTCTGGGGTCCCCAAGCCTCGGCGAATGAAGTACACAGGACACGTTTCTCCATTCCATTCCAACAATCTGTCTCTGGAAATTCCACGTGCGGTTAGGAGGCATGGAATTCTCTGTTTGGTTTGGACACTCTTTAAGCACGATGATGGGTTTCCGCACGTGTCAGATACCTGGCTGACCCCCCCCCCCCCCCCCGCGCCCCCCCACCCAAAAATGCAATTATTCTCATCGCCAATCCTGTCCTTCAGTCAAGTGTCCCCCTTGTTCCCAATAACCTGAACGCATCTCCACCTGCAAACTTAACTTCTGCCTATATTGCCCAATGCACCAGCAGAACCACACTTCCATACGACCTGCAAAGGGCAACCCTCCAGTTGCACCCCATGGCTGCCCGGGGAGCAACTCCCTCATCATTCCCTGTCCTCCTGCCCCCCCTCCCCCTGTCACTCGGGTTCAGTCTCTGGGCACCTCCTCAGTCATTCCCTGTTCCTGCGGTACTTCTCGAGCCACTCGCCTGTTGGCCGGGGTCTCGCTGCCCGTTCCCTGCCGACCAGAGGAAGGTGGCGCTTACCTAATGAGAAACGCGCTGCTCTGCCTCCGGCTCCATCTTCACCGCGCGGCAGCCCCGACCCCGACTGACAGCCTGACAGCCGCGCGCGGCTGAGGAGGAGGTGCGGTCTCGCGAGAGCTCTGGGAGAAGGAGTGCCCAAGCCGGGAGGGCAGGAGGAGGGAGGGGAGAGGGCAGTGAGGGGAGAGGGCAGGAGGAGGGAGGGGAGAGGGCAGGGAGGGGAGAGGGCAGGAGGAGGGGAGAGGGAGGAGGGAGGGGGAGGAGGGAGGGGGAGGGCAGGAGGGGAGGGAGGGAGGAGGGGGAGGGAGGGGAGGGAGGGGAGAGGGCAGGAGGAGGGAGGGGAGAGGGCAGTGAGGGGAGAGGGCAGGAGGAGGGAGGGGAGAGGGCAGTGAGGGGAGAGGAGGAGGGGAGGGGAGGAGGAGGGGAGAGGGCAGGGAGGGGAGAGAGCAGGGAGGGGAGAGGGCAGGAGGAGGGAGGGGAGAGGGCAGTGAGGGGAGAGGGCAGGAGGAGGGAGGGGAGAGGGCAGTGAGGGGAGAGGGCAGTGAGAGGGCAGGAGGAGGGAGGGGAGAGGGCAGGAAGAGGGAGGGGAGAGGGCAGTGAGGGTGAGGGCAGGGAGGGTGAGGGGAGAGGGCAGGGAGGGCAGTGATGGAGAGGCAGGGAGGGCGAGGGGAGAGGGGAAGGGAGAGGGCAGGTGAGGGGAGAGGGTGAGGGGAGAGGGCAAGGGGGGACAGGAAGGGTGAGGGGAGAGGGCAGGGAGGGCAGTGAGGGGAGAGAGCAGTGAGGGGAGAGGGCAGGGAGGGCAGTGAGGGGAGAGGGCAGGGAGGGCAGTGAGGGGAGAGGGCAGGGAGGGCAGTGAGGGGAGAGGGCAGGGAGGGCAGTGAGGGGAGAAGACAAGGAGAGTGTGACTCAGGAGAGCAGAATTGTACAAGAGACAGAGCACGACCCGGACAGTAGGAGAGCCACCGAGGCGACGGCTTCTAGTGGACACTTGGCATCTTGTGCCCGTTGTCACGTGGCTCTATGCTCCCGGGGGCCCTGTCCGTACACGGGAGTAAAGCTCCCGGGGGAGAGGTGCGTGCAGAGAGACGGGAGAAGCACCACGAAAGATGGAGTCTCCCGAGGAATACAAAAAAATAACAGGGATAACCAGCGCCATCTACATATGGAGAGGGGGGAGGAAAAAAATCCACCCGCCAAAGCTCATACTTTTTAAAAGAGCAATTACCAAAATAATGAGTCGGTTTGTCTTTACCAAACGTCCTTTGTGTCTTGTCTTCCCTTCAAGTGTCTCGGCCATCATTCAGCCCGTCTCGGTGCGGACGGAGGGAAATGAGGAAAATCGGAGAAATAAGGAGCTTCCGCGGAGACTACAAAGCAAAATAATCACTTGGTGGCATTCTGGCCACCATAGATCACACCAAAAAATAAGGGAGTTTCTCGCTTGTCCCTGGTCAACAATCCTCCAGATAAAATTGGCCATTTCGTGGCTGCTCTGTAACAATGTTACAGTCAATACACTTACAGTAAATCCGGTGAAGTGTTTTGAGACAGATACAATTGAGTTCAATTCCAGGCAGAGGGCGAAACCTTGGGCAAGTTTCCTTACTCCACACAGAGCCTAATAATAATCCCTCCAAGACCAAAAACAATAATAAATTGGTCATTTTCAATCTACGACTGTTTGTGGGACATTGCTGTGCGCAATTGGCTGCCGCGTTCGCCCACAAATATACAGTCAATTCACTTTACAGTGTGTTCTGTGAAGCGCTTTGGGACGTCCTCCCGAAGTGTAAAGCACTATATCAAATGCAAGGATTATTATTATTATATTGCTATATACATGTATTGCTGTGTGAAATGCAAGTATGATTCATTTTTACATTATGATTTCATCAGAAATACAAGGGAATTTCTCCCTGGACAACAACCCTCTTAAAACAAAGATAAAATTAATTATTCACGGCTCTTTGTGGGACCATTTGTATAAAACAGTTCCCATATTTGCCTACGAAACACCATACACTTATTGGTAATTGCAGTAAAGCTCTTTCAGATATTTTGACACTGTAAAATGCAAGTTTCTCCTTTCATCTTCATGTGGATACTCGATATTGAGGTAGACACAAAATTACTTCGGATATCGATACTGTTCAATGAAAATATGTTTAACAAACAAGTTGTATTTAGAGAGCACACCATCCTAACAGTCTATGTTTGGATAAATATAACATGTTGGCAAACAAACAATAAATAACAATCTCCAGGAAAATGAAACACAGAAACATTTTAGATGTGTTTTAGTGAATCAAATAGATCATCAAAGCCTGATCCAAGTGTGACCTATTGCACAGTGGTGGAAGACTGGATGACACACAACTTAAATTAATTGGATTGGCCCCTGAATAATCGGCTCAGTTAATAGTTTTAGTACACGGGATAAGGATTGTGTTAAACTCATATCAGAAACAGTGGAGTGGCATTTAAAACAACAGAGCTAACTTTAATGGTGATACAGTAATAATAATAATAATCCTTGCATTTGATATAGTTCTCCCTTAGTGTCATTCACATTTCTTTTCCAATTTTATTATTTTCACCAAACTTATTGCTTGCTATCTTACTTTCTGTTCATGTATTTTCTTATCTTCTTTCTTCCTTGTTGGTTGAATTCAAGATGAATCTGTCATTGGCAGATGCTTTGTGGTCACTACTACTATATATAATCTGGAATTACAACCATAATCTTGGGGGAACTTGAGTTCATAGAGGAGAAGGGCAATTTTTCATTACATCGAGGCTTGACTATGCAAACTCCTTGCTTGTCGGCCTCCCCAACTCCTCCCTCCATAGGCTGCAGATCATCCAGAACTCTGTATCCAGAGTCCTCTCCCACACCAGGCTCCGTGACCCTATCACTCCCATCCTCTCCCAACTCCACTGGCTTCCCATCACACAGAGGATACAGTTCAAGATCCTGGTCCTCACCTTCAAAGCCCTCCGTGGTCTGGCTCCCCACTACCTCTGCAACCTCCTACCCCCTACTATCCTGCCCGTTCCCTCCACTCAGCGGGCTACGGCCTTCTTCACAGCTCCCGCCTAGCTCACCCCACCATTGGCGGGTGGGCCTTCTGCCACTCTGACCCCACCCTCTGGAACTGCATCCCACAGTGCCTCCGCCTCGCCCCCTCCCTTGCCTCCTTCAAGACCCATCTCAAGACTCTCCTCTTCAACCGTGCTTTCGATCACCCTGATTCCCCCCCGCCCTCCACCCAGCCCGATCCTGACCCCCAGCTCAGGTCCAAAACACTGATTGTCCAGGGCCTTGGGACGTCTTCCCAACATAAAAGACGCTATACAAATGTAATTTATTTGTTGTAAAAGATTCCCATTTTGCAGAAATGATGACTTGATATCGACGATTTTACTCAATACCACTGGATCCATGTGCCATTGTTTTCCAAGTTGTTCCAAGTTCTGCTAGGTTATCATGCTCATAGTTCAGAACCTATCATTCTAGGTTCTGAATTATGAACCTACTGAAAACTGCTGTGTTTGCAATGCTAGTAACAGCTGGAGAAAAAGCTATTACCTGCACAACAAGTCAAGCTCCAATAAATTATTGCTGACATGTTAAATAATAACTGTGTAATGAATGATTTATTCCTGGCTTGCCTGAAGCTAAATGATCAAAAGCAATCAGTCATGTTATATTGATCTTTCGTTATGACTTGTGCAAAATCAATTACTAAAATTGTAATATTTCTGCCTTATTTCTGATGTCACATGCTTAAAGATGTTGTAGTAGGGATATACACGTTAAAATCAAAACTAAACATGTGATTTATAATTGGAGAAGCACAGCTTTCAGTTACACAATTATAATATTATCTTTAAAAGCCATGCACATCAATTTTCCCTATCAAACTGTAAGTAGCAGTATTGGAGCACCTTCCTCTCCAAGATGTTGGAACGAGTTGTCACCTTCCTCTTCCACCATTTTCTGCACGAGTTCCTCAAATCTGACCTTTGCCCAGTCATAAGACAGTGATGGTCAACGTCACCAATGACATTCTCTCTGTCTGAAACCAGGGCTCCTTAAGCTTCCTTATCCTTCTTGATTTCTTCTACATTCTCACCCTTTGTTAACATCATGAGTCAATTAGTTGCATTCTCATCTCTAAGGCAAAAGCTTTGTCTTCAAGTCCCGCATCAGGACTTTGATTTCATAGTCTAGTGGACTGGAGTCCAGAGCCAAACTGGAGTCCAGAGCCAGGAGGGCACAACCAGAAGGCAAAGGATACGGAAGCTCATGCAGCCTGAGGAGCAGATGAGAAAGCCACATTCCAAGGATTGCTCCTCAGCGCCATCGACAACGAGTTAAAGTTTGACATTGAAGACAGGAGCTATGTGACAAGTTTGGGAAAAGAGCATGCCAGGATAGTTTGACCATTGGTAAGACTACAAGCTTGCAGTAGACAGACATCCTCCAAACCAACCTAGGACGATGGTATTCAGAGACAAAGAAAGAGGGGGGGTTGGGGGGGAAGCACAGTATAAGAATTTACCATAGTAAAGGCACAATGAACAAATTGTTGTGCCATTCGAATAGTTGAAATTATAGAATACAGGCACAAGAACTTGCACATTTTAATATATAAATGGGAACTAACAATTGATTAAAAAATAAACTATAAAATGTTTCAGATTCAAGCGCTGATTAGATACTGATGTTAAGATCAACGGGGCAAATCCAACTCCCTGGCCTTCCCAGCTCCACCCTACACAAACTCCAAACAACACAAAACTCCGCAATCCATATCAATAACAACAAATGACATTTGTATAGTGCCTTTCACATCGGTAGGACATCCCAAGGCGCTGAAATATTCTCTGCCCCATTACACTCTACAGGGCTATCACCCCATTGTCGCCTGACTTCACTGGTTCCCTATTCTATCAATCTTAAGATCCTCTTCCACAATTTCACATGCCTCCACATCCTTGCACAATATCATCTGCAATTCTACTCCTTCTGCTCCACCAACTTCAGCGTACTTTGTGCCTCTCCCCTACTCCAATCAACCATTGGTAGGTGATCTTTCAACCACTTTGCCCTCCCTCTGGAACTCTCTTCTGAAATACTTCTACCGCGCTCCTACCCTATTTGTTTTCAAATCTAGCCTGAAGACCTATCTCTTTGACTATGCTTTCAGCCAATTTCCCCCAACCCCAGCTCCCTCATTGTCTGGACTCTTACTCCGTCTTTGTAAAAACACTTTGAGATGTTCTCCCAATAATGAAAGGCACTATATGGGTGTATGTTGTTTAAAAAAATGTTTTTGAACAAATTATGCATTTAAACCAAATATAGTACAATAAGTAAACTGCTGAAACAAAACAGTAGTTTTGAGGCTGTATTTATTTCAAACTTCAACCTAGTTGACTAGGTGATCAAAATCAGTCTGATATAATAAAAATAATTCTTGCATTTGTTATGGTACCTATAACATCAATGTCTCAAGGCACTTTACAGTAAACAGTAAAATTTACAGGCGATCTTGGTTTAACATGTCATTCAAAGAAAGGCACCTCTAACAATACAGCATTGGACTCTCAGCCGATAATGTGAGCTTAATGTACCCACATGAGGATTGAACACACAATCAGAGGCAGAGGCAAGAATGCTACCAACTGAGCCAAGCTGGCACAATTTGACTAATCTCTCTCGAAAGTGAAAAAACACTTGACATAATGTAAGGGGGAATATTTTGTCCTCTCTATGTTCAATAGTCTAGATTAAAATCAGCTTTAAACAATAAAAAAAATTTAGGTCAAATTTTATACCACACTGTGACGTGAACAAAATATTTGCTGATAAACCATTGAATAGGAAAAGATTACCACAAATGCCTCCTACATAAATGTCTTGTGCCTGCAGTCCTTGAGTATATTCACTCCCCCAACTTCAAGCATAACACTAATCAATTGTTTGACAAGCTGCTATTTAACTCTGGGATTTGCATTGCTACTCCCTGCTCTACTCTCGCTTCAGTTTGGCAACTAGAAACTAAAAAAGTTGGCACTTTCTGCTACAGTATATTTTAATGCTGTGACTTCCACATCAGTGTTTTTTTTGGTCAGCCAGGTGACACTTACAGAAACAAATCACTGTTCTTAAGGGTATCCAAACAAATTGACAGTTCCACATACTGTAGCCACCTCCACATTGTGGCTGGCTCTCGAGAACTCTGCATGGACTCTCAACTTCACAGAAATCAAACTGAGCTCAGTATCAGAACAGCATTCCAGTGGATCAACCATGACAAGTCCAGGATTGACTACATCAAATCCTCGTGCAAATCTTATAAATTAAACCCCATTTGGAATCCGGTAAATAGTTTTTAAATAGCACCTCGGGCGCTGGCAGCATCAGCCTCCACGGCTGCACAATCAACCTCACTAAGCCAGTCAGGAACTTGGGTGTCTTATTTGACCCTGAACTGTCCTTTCTCCCCCACATCCGCGCCATGACCAGCACTGCCTACCACCACCTCCGCAACATTACTAAACTCCGCCATTGCCTCACCCCTCAGGTTACCGAAACCCTCACCCACGCATTCGTCACCTCAAGGCTCGATTATGGAAACTCCCTCCTGATCGCCTTCCCAACTCTTCCCTTAACAAGCTGCAGATCATCCAAACTCTGCAGCTTGTGTACTCTCGTGCACCAGGCTCCACAAACCCATCACTCCCACCCTCGCCTGACTCCGCTGGCTCCCCATCCCCCAGAGGATCAAGTTCAAGATCCTCGTCCTCACTTTCAAGGCCATCCATGGCCTTGCCCCTCCTACCTCTCTGACCTGCTGACTTGTTACCCACCTGCCTGCTCCCTCCGTTCAGCGGGCTCCGTTCTGCTCCATGTCTCCCGCCCGACCCGCCCTACCATCGGTGGCCGGGCTTTCAGCCTCTCTGCCCCCACACTCTGGAACTCCATCACATGTTCCCTTCGCCTCGCTTCCTCCCTTGCCTCCTTCAAGGCCAGTCTCAAGACCCTTCTCTTCGACCGTGCCTTTGAACACCCTCCCACCTCTCTGCCTTCCCTCACCCCTACACCAGCCATCCCCAATGCTCGGGCCCCAACACCTGACTGTTCAGCGCTTTGGGACATCCCCCCGAAGTGAAAGGCGCTCTATAAATGTAATTTTGTTGTTGTTGAAGATTTTCCAGGTCTTGAAACTGAGAAATATGCAATAATATAATCGGTGATGTTATAGGCTTCTCACAATATTTAACTTCATATTTATTCTTCCAATAACATTTTAAATATTGAATTAAAAACTAACAAAAAGAGAATGGATGACAGAAAATCCAATAGAAATGCCACCTGGGTTAGAATAAAGCATGAATGCCTACAAAATAAGGCAGATTGAGAAGGTTTTTTCAGAAGAACTTTGTGTGAAACCAGCAAATTATAATAACTCTAACACCCAAGTTACTTATTATCTTTTTCTCAAATGCCTTTTATGATTTTTTATTGTATTGTAATCTAATAAAATAGTTTGATTTAAAGCAGAACTTCCTTTTCAAAAACTCTATATATAGGTGAAGTTGATAGCATATTTTGAAAAAAAAGTTCTGTTTCACTGCAGTATTTTTTGTTCAGAAGGGTGTCTTTCCCATTCAGAGAATCAAAATGTTAAGTAAAAGTACAACAAAATAATGCATTTTATTTGATGCTAAAATCAAAGTATGACCAGCTTTGATTTTTTAAATTTAAAACACATCAAAAAGATTTGCCAGTTTTTTTTTGCTTGCTGTTAATTCCTGTTTAATAAAAAAACATTGTCTTCAACAATATGAAGTCAGGAGAATGCTGGGCTACAATCTGTGTGTATCCCAGATATTTATTAAAGGACTGGCCTTAAGGTAGAACTCTGGAGTACCTTGCCAATCCCATATCATCCCATCTGTCAGTTTCCTGGCTCGTCCATCTGGGCAGTTCATCACTGATAGTACATAGTGCACTCCTGTTATTTTTCAGATCTGCGATCGGAATCTCAATATCAACCTTGTGGGTGTCAGTTCAATCACTGACAAACTATTCTCAGATCAAGCCTGCACCCTGGGAAATAACAAATGCAGAACCTTACTGAGATCAACTCCATTAAGTGAACATCCTAATTATCAACCATTCTACAAGTCCCAGTTCATTTCTATAAATGAAATTTTGCCCTTGATAAGATAAATTCCCTTTGAACCTGAAGTGCAGAAACAGGATTTGAATTCCAAATTAGCCAAGAGTTTATTGGTTCCAATTCCTCTTGCATTTCTAAATGTAGGTAAAGTTGACGAGCATGTTGTCAGACATAACTGGTTTCAGTTACAAAGAGAGGTTTGATGGCAAGATTCACACATAATAATAATACTTGCACTTGATATAGCACCTTATCACGTCTTTGAGACATCTCAAAGCGCTTCACAGAATATACTGTTAAGTGAATTGATTGTATATTTTGTGGGTGAAAAACGGCAGTCAATTGCACACAGCAGTATCCCACAAACAGTGACCAATTGAGTGACCAATTTTTTTTTAAGGGATTATTACCCCCAGAAAAGCAGTCCGCCAATCGACTGACAACCATATTCCTACTTACTGCTAAACTGAGGCATGTGGAGTAAGGAAACTGGGAATTGAACACAGGTCCTCTCTCTTGTGACGAGAGTGCTCTAACCACTAACCTACACAACTCCAAGTAAATCCTGTGAAGCGCTTTGAGACAGCCTTCTAACTTGAAAGGCACTATATCAAATGCAACGATTATTATCATTATTAATAATATTAAAATAAAGCACCAACATAGTTATCTGACAGAATTAAACATGCATCTACTTAAACTATCTGAACTTAGAACTTATTTTTCCTTTCCCTTGTATTTCTCACATCATGAAGCAGGCTTGAAAAGGTGGTCGGGTGACCATTACCAATGCATCAGCTGGACATGCTTGAAACTGGGCACCAGGAGGGGTGCAAGAGCCATCCAGGATAATCTCCATCTAGTTTTTCCTCTATTAAATTGAGGAACTGCCAAGCCATCCATTTAGTAGCTTTTCACTATAATACAGTTGCGATTAAGAATGAACCATACATGTTGGGAGTGTGGCCATGAACGAGCCTGCTTCTTATTCCAAAAGCTTGAAGCCTGAATAACAAGTTGCTCAGATTTTATTTCA